GTGCCCGACGCGCGGCCCTGTGAAGGCCTTCCAAGCAGCCATCAGCCCTTCTTTGTTAGCCTGAAATCGCAATTACGGCCGTGCAACTGGCGAAGACCAACCACGACCAGCTAAATGACCTGATTCTTGACGACTCGAGATGGATTGATTTCAGCTAAGCGGTATAGTACGAATGGTAAGTTTTCCTTTTCTCAACAGACGATTTCTACCTGATACGGAACTCACGTACATAGGAAATGTACGTCTGACATGCGCACCGGAATGATCTCCTCGACAAGAACTCACCCCATCCTGAAATATCCTTCCCGGCCCTAACGTATTCTCGCCCTGCTTTCTGTGGCTGCTTTCAACCTCCGCCGGCATCAAGGCTCAGAGCCTTTTCTTCTTCGTATCTCCACCCCCATTCTTCTATCGCTGCCAAAATCCAAGGCACCAACCCTCCATCGATAAGACGAACACCATTCGAACGGCATCAAGGGGGATGCTAGCCTCCAGACAAATCTGTCATTTGGCTCAAAATTTCACTAAGACCATTTCCACCAGCCCTTTTAATCTGCAAGGCAACTTCAGTCGGTAGAGTGGTCGCTAATGCTTTCTTTGGGTCACTCTGGATATCATCTGCCAACTTCCCTGGCTATAAATGTGCTACTCATCCAAACAGCCGATCTATTGCCCTTTCAAAGATCAGAAGCCTTCAATAACTTGTCCCGACATTCCACCAAGATACTGTGAGTATTGAGAAAGCTTGCTCTCGAGCTCAACGCATGGTACTTATGTGTCTCGAATAAACATCACCGACTGGGTAACCACAAAGCATCTTCAAACCTCAACACATATGGAATCCTTCATCTCCCACCCATAGTAATTAAAAAGACGCTGTAGAAACGGCTGGCAGCACACCGAAACTCCCCACCACAAGCCAAAAGGACCAATGCGACCGCAACCTTCGGGGCATGAACTACCTGTTTCGTTTGCGAGTTGTCCAAAGCTGCAGGCCAAGGTGTTGTGCGCCGTCATCCGCATTCGTCTCTAGTCTCCCTAGACACCTGACAATCACGACTGAGCAAACAAGTGTGGCAATTGTATTGGAACATTTGCGTCCGAGGAGGGAGTCACAAGACGCCGACATATTAACCAGCTGCGAGTCTGGCGAGGCAGTTGAAAGCACCGTCGCCGTCCACAGCAAAATGCAAATTCGGCTGGGAAAGGGGCGTAATAACTCAGAAACATCGATTGCCAAGGTTGAAAATTTGGTATTGTAACTGGGCGTTTCTACTAAGACGAAGAGAAAGACGACTTTCGGTCCGGCTACATTTCACAAACGGAGTCCCAATGTCGTCGGAAATAGGAATATGGAACCATTGAACGAAATAGCGGGACGGGCTATATTCATTTGTAAAGACTAAAGACCTTGATAAGTAGAGTATTCCTACCTCTTGAGTAGCATTGCATGTCGTTTTAAATGCAGGTTGAATATTTGTTAATGTGGTGTGCTTTGGGCGGCGGGTTTGGGCAAGCATCCTGATTGCTGATGTGGATGCGAAGATTCTCAAGACGGCTGGTCGGGGTAGGCTTGGCGTGTCTCTGGTAATCGTGACTGATTTGTTTTGATTGTGATCAGATGTTCCGTGACTGAATTCGGCATCAAGTCATCATGAAGTCGTGAGAGACCGAGGGCAGCAATCGGCACCTAGGAGGCATTTAAACTGCCTTGAACATGCCAGAGTGACCTTCCAGTCTCCCGATACTTCAGGAGAACATATGTAAGCATACCGTGAGGAATGTTTCAGGCTACAAATCGAAAACAGAAGCAGCCCCATCTTGGTGATCTCGATGTTGGGCCCCAGCACAGACAGCCTTCTCGTAGAGCATTTATGTTGAGAGTGTCACACATGCAAGCGTAAATGTTGGGAAATATGTAGTTAGATTATCGTCGAACGACCATAGCAAACTTGAACACGCGGGCGCGCTGTGTTAGCTTATCATGATCATATCGGAGATTCCCTAGGAGAGAGAGGCGGATGCCTGATTTTCTTAGCTTACAAGCAGGTAATGCTAAATGCTCGTTCAACTGAAAGATGAACGCCTGGCCGACATAAAACCACAAGGTTCTCATCAGATGCAGGGCGTAATGGGAGACTCTGCGGTCGGTCGCTTAATCCACACAGGCTGGATGTATTAGGCAACCCTGCAAGATGGGGGTACCTTAGTCTAGGTGGGAATTGAGAGATGCTTCTGTGCTGGAGGAAGGCTTTCGGGACGTCATAGTAACGGCCGCAAGTGCACAAATTTCCAACCTGCCTATATGCTAAGCTTTTGACCAGTACTTATATGAAACTTCTCAACTCGTACTTGTACACGTATAATTTCTCAGACGAGAAGACAAAGCAAAGAACAAGGAAGCCTCTGCTGACAGCTTTTCGGTCGCCATGGCTTCCAAGGTGCAAGGTCTGTGGCAGCCAGAGGGGTTTGGTCTAGCCCAGGGTTTGACTTTGAGAGGCGGCTTCAACGCCCGGAGGGGAACGTGGACGCCAAAATTTCTCCTTGAACCATTTATAAATGACCATTTCCCCAAGGCCGAATATTCAAAGGTTTGACACTCGACAGCGCATAAGAACAGGCACAGGTTATCACCGACAGCGCCGAAGTCAACATGAGTGGCGCTGGAATAAGTTATTCGCCCTGCAATGGTCTGGAAAGTTCTATGTCAGCCTTGAAATTAGATGACGCAGTTTGATTACGAGCTGCACGTAGGTATGTATGAGATGCAGCCAGTTGACAAATTTACTCTACGTCTTTCTTCCATTTTCGTTCCCGAGTTTCCATTTGGGTAATTATTGGGATAATTGAGGGGCGCCGTGGTCTCATGGTAACCTGAACCTGTTCTCAACTGGAAGATGTTGTTGAACACGACGGAAAAGATAGCCTGACGATGAAAGCGACTTGAAGGAAATTTAATTGACCTTGTGTCAAGGTGTGCGAGTAAATCACGGTATTAACGCCTCAGCCCTGGAAGGCTGGAATCCGGCTGGGAGGATGTCTTGTCGCTTATTTATCCCCGCCTCCTTGGGCCAATGTACGCTATTCGTCATCCAATTGAAATGTCGGCGGGCGCCGCAGGCGACTTTTCTGAGCAGGCGGGACTTTAGGCATTCAAGCTAAATACACATCGATTGGTGATCCAGGTCTCCTGTGCTGGATTACCCGTCCAGTTCATGCTCAATGTGTCCGCAGCAGACCCGAAGCTGTTGCCCACTGCCCATGACCAAGCAATTTGCATCTGGACGCAAAGGCCCGAATGAGTAGCTGTGGGTGATCTTCGAAGCCATGACACGTTTTGAAGGGTGCGGCAACTTGAGATGTCGCCACTCTCGCTAACACCCTTGATAAGGACGCTACCTATGGTCATCGCCCTTTTGTCGTGGTGAACTATGGCAATAGTTTTGACATTACACACTTTCTTGATCGAGATGATAAGGTAAGTGACGACTGTTGTTGTCGAGTTTCCCGTCGATCAAGATGAATCCATAGTTCCCCAGACGACAAAATCTCGAATGAGGGCTACTAGCCTGGATTGTGTCGGCCAGCGATGAACGTTTACCAGCGCAACGTGTCCATAATCTGAAAGTTTCTGCCTTCCGCATCATGTTCTTGATTGTCTCTTTTCGTCTCCTCTCAATGTCGCTCGACCAGCTCCGAGTTTCAATGGGCGACATTGAAAAACGCCGTTCACCCTGACTACGCGCTGAAAATTGCATCGCAAGAGACCGCACTGCAATCGAGGTCCATTTATGTAGTATACAGGCTGAAACGTCCAAAAGGGCTTGGACTATCGCACTCGTTCTGAGCGAGACCATCATCCCTCAAGGACAGCTGAGGATGGCCCAATAATGACAGCCGAAAATGGAACCAATTACCAACGTCTCATCACCCTTTCTCATCTAAATCTCACACAGTGACATGAATAATACTCGAACGGCAGCCAGAATAGATATTAAGTTTCCCTAGGTTGAGAGCTCAGCTACTTCCAAGTCTCTGTTGGACACTCTCTAGAACGTGGTTAAATAAGCGATTACACCCAACTATAAGAAGAAACCAACACAAACCCGCAGTCATCTGATCAAAGACAGTTAATTTGAGGCCGCAAATATCAAACTTGAGGCAAAGGACTGCGAGCTTCCAAGTTCCATGCCCGTAAATCGGAATGTCCGTAACTCGCAGTATTCTTAACCCGCCTAAAGTGGTTGCTCCAATCAATGAGGCGCTTCGTTGTTGGTGCTCCTCGATCATTGGTGGCCAACGAAATTTGTGCAGCGGGGCTTTAAGCCCCTTACCAAGGCCAGGTCAATGGCAAACGGAACATGGCAAACAGGCTTCTGCGTATGCCTCTTGACGAACAATACTTTACAAAAGAGTGGCTGTTTGGACGGCTTGAGACGAAATGTAACCTTTTCCCGGGAGCAGTGAATGACCTTTGCAGCTATTGAGGGTCTGAAAAGAGCCGATGTTACTTTTGCCCATCCGGTGGGTATGTTTGTGAATGATGGGCACTTGGATCTAAACTGGACTGACGAGCACATTTATAATGCTCTGCATCTGTGCGAAATATTGCGAAAGCTACACAGCCAAGTCGGATGCGCTGCGCAAACATTGGCATGCTCAATTGCACCTCCTTGACCGAAGTCCCGGCAGTTGATCGTCCGACATGTTGGAATTGATTTAGATTTTGAATCGATAGCTGTAGGGAACTCCGTCATACTTGAAGAAGACGTCGAAAATATCATATGCACAAAGGGCTGTCGAAGTTTGAGGGAAGGGGAAGGATCTAGCCGAGACGTCTGTTGTCCGATGCAGCATCGCGAAGGTTCTTGCGAACGTGTCCCACATGAAGGCTGATTCGACTCCTAAACATGGCGCCACATCAGGTCTGTAGTTATCACCCGCGGTATACAAAACGTGTGCATCACTTTTGGGAATGCTCGCTATTTTTGTTTCTCTCGTCATACCTGATGCTTCCAAGAACCTAAGAAATCATGCTTGACCATGGTCAAGTCGCTGGGCTCCATGCTGGCTCCTGAGTGAGGTACTCCTGTCGCAAAACCGTCAATAGGTAGTACGAGGACATCGTGAATCAACATGGGGTGTTCCAAGCCCGTCAGGTTTCTCCATGTGAAACTGGTTTCCGTCACGTCGCTCAAATACTCGTAAATCTCCTCCGTCCAACCTGCTGGGCCTGACACCCTCAATATGTCTTCATTCGTGAAGCCAGCTTGAATATTCTGTTCGGCAATATTATCTGTCGGGAAGCCCTCGGTCCTCCAGCGAACTTCGCTCAATATCCGTCTGAGCATTCTCAGAAACACTGGGTGACCTTTAGCACCAGCGATTGTCCACTGGCCAAACTGCACAGGATATGTCGTCCCCTCGACGGGCGGCTGTGAATCTGCCTCGATGCCCACGATGACTTGCGTGTGATTACGAAATTCTTGCGGAACCCAGTCACGCAGAGGGCGCAGAGGGTATGTGTCGGAGTCGCTGTAAACGCCGCCCTCCAGAGCGAGGAGAGCGTAGCGAACAAAATCGGCTTGCATGACGGGCTGAGCGATTGCGGTATATAGCTGTGTTGCTTTGAAGGTTTCTGGGCGTAAATCGCCTTGAATGTTCCTGCGGGCCCCACGCCTAAGGTGGTTGACATTTTTCTTTTGAGACAGAAAAAGGTTTTCGAGACGGGCGACGGCAGCCAAAGCGCCTGCCGCATTGACGATTGTGTATGCAAAGGACGGATGTAGAGACAGCCAGTTGATTGCGTAGGGAGGAGGTTGGATTGGATCTTGAGAATCGATGCTGTCGGGAAGTATTGAGACCTGCCAGATCTTGGGAGGAATGTGCGGCAAAAGTGTCTTTGGGTCGGTGACTTGCTCTGCAGGTTCCGATCCACTTGGTAATTTCAAACGATAGAAGCTAGTGGGCGTGAGAGTCCATAGGGCGCTGGCTGTTAGAGAGTGAAAGATCAGCGCGAGGAGGAGAAGAATAACGAGTGCAAATGGCAGCGACCTGGACCATGAGACGGCCATCTTGGTCTGTCAAAGCCAAAACTATTCATTCGATCTCTTGGAACGGTCGATGCATAATTGAAAACCACACGTTTTGCGACTCAGCGTCGTTCATCCTATTATATACGGTGTCCTTTTGCTTAAGGGTGGCCAAGACTCTACGTTGGGACCGGACTATGTTTAGGATAACGAGGCCAACAAGTAAAGTTTTCAGTTGCAGGAAACGGCAGGCATGACAGATCACTGACTAGTAACGTTGATGGCCCATGCGACACTTGAATACTACTTGATTACGGAGTACTCCGTCGCATTCGAACGGTTTCATCTTCAGTACTTGAGTCAGTGATGATAATAAAATGGTAGAGAGGGTCACCACTTCAGCCGGAGATGGAAGAAAATGACCAACGAAAGGGATAGAAGGTAGCGGAGGTGATTGAGTGAATATTGCCTTTCCCGAGTCGGATCATGAGGAGACTGTGTATATAATATAGCCGCGCGGAAGCCGCGGATAGCACGGCCGAGGAAATAAAGTTTAAACGTTGACGATCAAAACTAGCTGAAACCAACCACAAATAGAACTGCCCCCGGTCACATTTGAGAGGCCACGTTCAATGCGAAAACAAAATATGATTGAAGGCGCGAAAGAGGGTGTCCAAGTGGAACCAAATGCAACAAGCTCGGTCGGCCCAAACTAGTGTTGGCGATGACCAAGCAAGACTCTGCTGTTTAAAAGCGCACGCAATTTTAGGATGCTTCGGGCATGCTAGCGGTTGCGAAGCGAAGTGGACCATTTATTGTAATTAGAGACGACCTTGAAATATTAATCATGGCGGCTTAGAGTGGCATGTAACAGCGGTTACTGGAATGTTTACAGGCGATGCAGGCCCTTGAGGTTGTTGACAATATTCTTGCGAATCTGGATCGAAGATTTCCTAGTTATTATGAACAGTATCACGTTGCTTAGTAGGCATCTATTAAGTATAAACAGAATTTTTATAGTGTGGCGTAAACCTCTGCAAATTGGATGTGGCTGGGCTCAGAAGGTAGAAGATGAATGTTTACAGGCGAAATATCATTCCGGGGGGATTCTTCAGTCCTATCCGCGTCAACAGGGTTAGAGGGGAGGATTTAATCCTTGAGTATCTAAACAGACTTTCACTTTGCTTGTCATTAACTGCGGCAACTGAATCCGCGGGACGCTCCGTCGCCCTGGCCCGACTTGCTGACAACATCACTTTGGGGTCTTCAATGCTCTTTTGCAGGACGCACTATCGGTCAACCATGGGAACCTTCGATGGAAGAAAAGCATAGGTCCCAGTAAGCAGAGCGTTGAACGTCACTTCGTAGTATGTATGTTCTACTATTATCTCCGGGCTTGATGCTGGCAGGTTCTGATCTCGGGGAATTGAGAAGTCGTCTAACTCGTCGGCTACGCCGGCTGGACAGGTACTTTGGACGCGAGGAGTAGACACCTTCTAGCTGTGAAATAATGTAGTAATCGTCGCCGTCGATCTGATGCTTGAGTCGAAGCACCCTTGGCGGAAGGACTGGGCGGGACATGGCTCGGTTTTCTGTGCGAAGCTACTCCGGGCATGTAGAAGTAACAAAATGACATAATGTGTCTCCTCTGAGAGCCCGATTAAGCCTCTCCCGATTGTTTGGCATGTTCAAAGTTGTCTATCTGGCTTGCGATGTGCTCCCCCACATCTGCTTTCGCTTGCTTTCCGGGTTGCTGTCGATCTTGATCTTGAACATCAAGAAACCGTCCCTCCCGGCCGTTTACCATAAGACTGGCACGTCCTTCGGTAAAAACGGCTTACCCTTGTCTTTTGTTGCCAACTGCAGCGGCATGCCTAACAGACAGGGTCTTCTTCACCAGCGAAACATTTTTCATCATCTTCTTCTTCTCTTTTTTTTCCCCCCCCGATTTGGCGTCACGCTTTACCAGGTGCCCCATCCTTGCCCGGATGTCAGCCTTCTCTCCTAGCATCTGCCCAAAGAGCTTACAGCTTACTGAAACCAAGGAAAAGCATGCATGCAATCGTTGCTCATCTTGATCCATGCCTAGCAAACATGAATTCTAGCGCGGACGATTTCTTCGGTTAGACCAAGGACTCCGGGGACATGGCATTGGGCGGCGCGATCAACGGCAATCTTGTTGACCTTCTCTTGGCGTTTGCACTCATAGAACAACTTCTTCGGCCGTCTAAGAGTTTTTTTGCCGTTTCAATAATTTTCTCAGCACAGCAAAGCAATCAGCAGTGTGTCGCATGGACTAATTAATGTGCAGGGAGATCTAATTGTAGGGGTGGGATTCCTGGAAGGAATTCATGAGATCCTGCCATACTGAACAACCGTGTTGAACTACGTCAACGCCACCATTTATTTACAGTATTGAGAGAGGTAACCATTACATACAACCATACCCATTGGAGAACTCGGGATCCCGTCCGCTCTCCCATAGATAAGCCAATGAGGGCTGGAGTAGTAGTCGGGTCGGTGACGACCGGCGAATGCCCGGTGTTGTATGTCTTTTTGGCCATTTTGGCTAGCCAGCTGTTTTTAGGCTCGGCTGGTGAGGAACCCAAGAACAAGAGGCTTATAAGAAGTAAAAACTAGCGATTGTGGTCATTTTGGTTATTTTCCTAAGTGGCTTATGACCCTTTTTCTTTGTGATGTGGAGTGATGCATGGAGACCTGTGGTGACGTCGAACGGCTGCGTTTCTCTACACCTTGTTTGCTGCTGTTGTTCGGTCGGCATTTCATCAATTGGTCGGAGCACTGTGTCCAATTCGAAGACTTGACAAAGATTGCAGAGGATGGACATCGTTTTGGTGGTTGGTTGTGGGACGAAAACGCAGTAATGCGTTGAGCAGCAAGCTCCAGCGCTTTCGCCATAACCACACGACTCCTTTGCCCCACCCATCAATGCTTTCGTCAGGAAAGTTCTGGGCTTGCAGTGGGACCGATGTCCGCGTTGACCCGATGATCCCAATATTGGACGAGGAACACCACTTTCTGGTGATTACCGTTGAAGAACACTTCTGCGCACAGATTGCTCCCAACCTCCGGCCATGTCATCCCACTGCATAACAGCTGTCGTCACCGTCCATTCCGGCAGCCACTGTCGCTGACAAAACAGCCGGTAATAGACATCATTTGCCGTACTGTTTGTAAGGCGGAAGAACTGACTGGCTGAGTCACTGGTGTCTTGGTAAGATAGTATTAAGAGGAAACTTGAATGCTTAGTCAACAGGAACCCCAAGTAAAACCAGCTGCTCGGACAAGTAGGCAAACGGCATGAACCTCCAAAGGGTGGGCAGCACGGATGTGAATGCAGGGAGGCGGCAGGATCAACAAGCAGATGGCGCCGGCTTGAGTTCTTCTCCCATTTCAAATTGAAGGTGCGGCGCATCTTCTGCGAGCGGCACAAACCATGATCTAGAAAACGGCTTGTGAGAACTATTAGGTACATTATGAACGACACCCTGGCCTCGTAAGCCATGACGAACCCTGACGACCAAACGCAGAAAATGGGTCTATGGTGGCTCCAGACTTCATTATTCACGAAAGCCGGGAACGCATAAATATGGTTTCTTCCCCAGGTTTTTATCGGAACACCGGGATTGAAGACGAATAATGAGTCCTTGATTGACACGGCGTGAGTCACATCCGGCCAGACTACTGGATCATCAGCAGCCCTCTTAAACCGATTTCAGCTTCAATTTTCAAAGTCGGCGATGCATGAGCGTTGCGCAATGCAGCCAGCAATTTGAGAAGGAAGCACTGGATGAGACCAAATTGCCTCATCGTTGGAACGGATCATGAGTCTGTTTTACAATCACCAGGTCTTGATGTCTAATCTCATAGTCTCAACAAAATGTAAGGCAGCATGTCTTTGACCAGCCGCGATGAAATGAACATCTTCCACTCTGAAGTCCTTCTAAGCACCCGGAGTCCCAAGATGATACAGAACAACAGACACTGGCTTTATTCAGTCGCCGCGATAGCTTTTCTACGGCCAGCTGTGATGTTTGATTGGTGAGATGACTTCACGAATAACCTGGTCACATCACTTGCTGCCCTTGTCGTCTCTTTCTATGAGCGTGTCACGAAGCATTTTTAGGCGATTCAATCACAGTCTGGAAAACTCCTAGCAAGCCCCGCGCGGAGTAGCAATCTTGACTGGTATGACATCGGCACTTTCCAGCAGCGAGGGGCCAACTATACAAGCACTTACCGGCAGAGCTGAAGAAACATGTAGAACTATTGAAGCAGAGCTTTGCTCCTGTACAAACTGCGATGTCTGCAAACTACGTTAAAGGGCGTGCGAGTGTTCGGCCGCCAAAACACCCTCAACTTTGATCACGTAAACAGAATCGAACTCACCAGGAAACATTTTTCTACGGGCAAATAAATCTGAGCGAATGAAGCGCAATGTATATGAGGGCCCGTTGAGGGTGGTGAGATAAAGTACGGCAGACTAATTCTTTGACTCAAGATTCGAAATCACAATTAAGGCTTCAAACACATTGCCTCTGGGCAAAAGAAAAACTTTGGACGGCCATTCGAGGTCATTTCAAAACCAAACAACATGAAAGCAGCATACAGCCGTTTTTGCAATTTTCTTGGCCGGGTTGGAACCGTTGAATACCTGATCCGCGGGTCTTCGGGCAATTTATGCAACATTCTGCTGCTTCCACTTGGAGTTACATTCGGGAGGAGCCTGGCCAGGTGACGCCGGGAAATTGAACGTCTCACAGACCTTACAAAGATGTACCCAAATCTCATAGCTCAAGCTTGAGATATTGGCCTAATCTGCTCGTCTTGCGCCGCTGAGAACCACACCGACTACGGCACAGGCAGTGCACCAGAAATGCCAAACGATACGCAAGAACTTGGACGACGCAGCATCTTGTGGACCGTATTTCAAGATCCACATCTCAATTCAAAAGTTCCACGGATACCGCTCTGATCTGGCGATACATACAAGCAGAGCAGCTACAAGCTCAAGAAGGTTGAGAGCTAGGGACCTACATCTGATGATCGCAAAAACGTCCGAAAGGCACCACGTTTCTTGAGAAAACTCGTCTCATTCATGGCAGCCACGAAGACAGATTGGAGTTCCAGTCAAGGAGAACGGAGAGTTGGGCACATTATTCAACAGATAGGCAACATGTTGAAGAACAAGTTGACGCAAATTCGAACCCGAGAAGCATTCCTTGTCAGACATCCATAGTATCTTGACTTTTGGGAAGCTTCCAGAAAACGACCAATCGTGATCTTTGATTGACGATTGTCCCCATCTTTCATCAAATATCATCAACGTCCCCCTGTCATAAAATCTATCTGTGATGTGATGGAAGCTCCCGAGAGTCGATAGGAGGTTCAAAATCGGCAGCCCGACTTGGGATACATGGTGCACTTCAGTCGCTTAGCATATACACACGCTCCACGGCCACCTTTGCTTGTTCTATTCGATGGAGTACCTCAGAAACCATGGGACGCCAAGCATCAGCATTCAAGACATTTGTCAAAACAATAAAGCACGCAGTGCAAGGCGGATGCATCAGGAATCATGCCCAGCGAAACGACTGGGCCAAGGTGCCGCAGGGTTGCGTGGCTGCATGGCCATATTCTCTGTCCCGGCAGGGCCACTCTCGGCTTGAGGGACTGCTACCCAAGGGGCATACGCAAGAGTGAACGGAATGGTTTGAAGGCTAAAGTGCCAAGCAGCTGAGCTGCGACAACTACTGGCGAACGTCGTCTATGCCGCGCGAATACCTCAAGCCCTGCCGGTGCTCTGGAGATGGCCAGCTTCCCGGCACTGGAGAGGGAAGGAACCAACCCGAATGCCCTGAGTCAGAGCTCAAGTTCAGTTTCTACGCCCTTGAAAGGTGACACTGAGAATAGGGGCCATGCGCAAAGTGGAGGCACATTGTCAAAGACCATATAGCTTCAGGAAGGGCCTGTCTGCGTTTGAATGATTAGACTGATTTAGCTCCCACGGGAAACTGGCTTCCGTTGGGCCAACAAATTTGCCTCAAGGGACGCAAAATATTGTCTCTCCATACGGATACTATGAAGCGAGCCAGCGGAAATACACGCTGTCTCTGCTTGTCAGAGTTACATTCGCGTCGTAGGCGGGTCAAGTTTCGTCGCAGCTTGTCAGAATGAGAAACTGCCAATCACCAATGCTGGAGCTAGATAGGTCGAATCACTGATAATAGAAGTGCTTCCCGAAAGTAGACAATCGAATCCTTGCCGTCAGGAGTTCAGCGGATTCTCACTCTAACAAGTTACGACGGTAGTGTTTTCAGCGATCGTTGCGCATGGAAGGACACCTAATGAACCAAGGATCGCTGTTACGGAAGGAAGGATGAGGGCGTGTATCCGGTCTGTCTGCAGGTATGCTGAGAAAAACCTGTCTGCTACTGCGCGGTCATCTTTGCGATGGTGGTGAGACCAGACGCTCGCACCGAGTGGCTTCAATTCTAGTTGCAGTTTCCAAAGCCGTTGGCACTAATGCTGAAGCGTTGAGGCTCTGTTTGCACTTTTGCCGTAATTGGACTGGGATGCAAGCGAGACGGGCTCGCTTAGATCGGCATAAACCCATCTATGAGTCTTGGATTGGTCGTAACCCCTAAGACTACAGGTTTCTGCCCTGCCCAGATCAGCTTCTCAATTTCGCTGTTCAGTGACAGTCAGAAAGCAGCGCCATGACCGTTCCACGGGGAGTTCGTAGCAATTGAACCAATTCCTAAGTTCGTCTATGAGCTTGGACCTTGCTTCCGCCATAATGACTCAAGGTTGCCCGAGACATTAATTGCGTTTGTCAAGAACATGCTCGGACAGGGATTTCGCCAAGGTCCGTTGACATCGACCCACGCCATCGTTGATCTGATCCCACCAACATCCCACACGGGACCTCTAGCCAGCCCGTCTGTCTTTCACCAGCCATGTCTGCCGCCTGATTTGGAGACTGAATTGCCATGTTTGATACCCCGCTCATCCTTTCCCAAACAATCCGACAAGTCTCATTCTACAACGCTGGCTTTTCCTTGGTCGCTGCAAAGCTGGCCGTTAAGCATCGTTTCTGTCCTCCGCGGGACAGCAATGCTGAAGCTCAACTTATCGGCGCATTCAGTAGTGGCCAAGAGAGAGGACTGACAAGCGCGTCTAGAATCGGGTGGCTGGTTTCCGTCCTCAGGCGACGAGATGTCTTGTTTGCCACGCCCGACCAGGGATGCAATCTACACGATTCCCCCAAGAGGACTGATCCGAACTTGCTGTTTCTGCCGACCCGAGACAGCGGAGATCTCGTCACCTTTAGGCTATGCGCTGTGATGTGGAAGCTCAGGAGATGCGGTTTTCACACCACAAGACTATGCCTTCTGATAAGTTATTATCTTTGACCAAAATGGAATCACCCAAGGGCTCGACAGGCGTGACATCAATCAACTAGACTCTCAGACGAAATGGGTGAAGTGGAAAATGAAGTTTTGCGCATCTACGGTATTCACAGCTTCGCGAGACCGCCTCGTGGACCAGGCCTACAGGGCGTCCCTTGTACAGGCGGGGTTTGCTCCTGTTGTTGTACAGCTCTCATGAGGTCTCTACCACGACCCCGGCTCGTTTAAAGATGCATCGAAGAGATGCAGCGGCGAAGAGCTCCACTTGACGACATCCAGTCGGTGTTCGAGCTTTGTGTGATGTGTGACTCACGCCATGTGCTGCCTCTCTTGGCTGACTGCTGGCATGGGTCCAGGTCTGTTTTCCTTATTGACAGCGTTACTACCCAATCAAACACTTCAAATCGAGGGTTCGGACTGGACTCTTTTGCATAGAAACCACGGAAGATTTGACAACTTGGCTTATTTGACCTTGAAGTTGAATTTGATCTGAATTCCCCGTTTGGGAAGATAGTGATGCCATCGCGAAGTCTCTCTGGCTCAGATACGTACATAACATGGTGTTTTGAGGTCAAATTGATGTTTCAGGGTTCAATCCTCAGCCCTAGTCTGGGTTCTGCACGTGAAAGCAAGCACCATGTACCTCTCTCGCAATTGTGTTAACGCATTCGTGACGTCTCGCATTGATCCTGCTCCCTTTTATGTCCAAAGCTTACTACCTGGCCAAGTAACTCCCAAAACTACCCGACTCTAAGGAAACATTGTTTTACACATTGCGGAGAACAAACCACTCCCATTGAGAAGTCCCTGGAGAAATGGAAACCTTACATGCATCGTCATCTCAATTCGTTCATTCTCTGAGTGAAAGTCGCGGAGCTGGTCCTGCAGAACACGATGCGTGCGTTGGTAACGGTCAAGGTCTCCCGGTGCGCCCGGCCTAACACCACTTTCATGCGACTTGCACAAGTAGTCTGTAAACGCCAATGACGCCATAATCACCACAATCCTGTTGTGGACCTTTTCTTGGTGAGACAACATGTCCAAAAATTGTCGCCTGTCAATGTCGTTGATCACAGACGCCGTCTTGCGCGCGGGAATATCGTGAAGTCTACCCGCTTGAAGTTCGGATTGATTGCGCAACTGGACCTGCGATGTCTGGACTGGTGGCTGTGGCAACTGTTCGCTAGAAGGTGGCACGCGTTTGCCCACGCCTTGGCTAGGCACGGGCGGATCAGGCGTGAAGCGGGCAGGTGGCGTGTATTGGAAACCACTTGTTGTCATGAAAGCCGTGGTGGGTACCGTGATGGCCGTTTGCTGTGTTTGCCGAGACACATTCCGATCCGTGAGGAGTGCAGGTGGGGGTGTGAACGCCGTACTGGGTACAGTCAATCCTGTTCGCTGGGTTTGCTGGATTTGCTGAGACACGTTCCGATGTGTTACGGGTGCAGATGGGAGCGTGAGAGCCGTGGAGGGTACCGTGGATGCTGCTTGCTGGGACACATTGCGGTGTGTGATGGGTGCAGACGGGATCGGGTGTTGTCGCCTTGCTGGAGCGGGTATTGATGTAGCGTTGGGCATGGGTGCAGGGGATATAAGCGAAGGAAAGATTGCGCCATCTAGATGGCTTCTGAGCCAACCTGAACCCACTCGGACGGTTGGGTGACCCGTCTGAGGTGCCGCGGTCTTGGGGTGGCTGGGCAACATGACAGGTCCTCTGAAGTTTCCTGGTGGTACATTCATCCTGTCTCTTTGGTCATTTGATGCTAACCTCTGGGTTTGAGCTGCGAGCTGAAGCTCTGATGAGGAAGATTGGAATTGCTGGCTGGGCTTCGGGACGTTTGCTGGCGTCTTGAGTATGTTAGCAAAGACTATTGGACTCTGGTGTGAATCATCATGGCACTCTTACATTCATTCTTTCTTTTCTGCCACTCGATGTCAATCTCCGGAGTTGAGCTGCTGGTTGAAACTCAGACGAGGAAGGTGGGGACTGCTGCGTGGTCTCGGGGAAGTTCCCTGGTGTCTTCGAACTTGTTAGCAAACTCCATTAGACTCTGATTTACATTGTCACGTCTTACATTCGCCACCTGATTTTGAGCCGCTAGTTGAAACTCTGGCGAGGAAAGCTGGACTGGCTGCGTGTACTCGATGTCAAGACTCATCTCGTCGCCAGAGTCAGATTCCTCGTTCTCCGGGCCGCCCAGGCTTCCGTCCCAGCCGGGCTTTGCCCATTCGTCGGTGTGCGGCTCCCAAATTGCGACATGGCGTCTCTGTGATCCCCTTGACAGCTCAACATGCCCCATCTTACTGAGAGATTCAAGGGAATACTTGAGCGCGCTCTGGAGCCGCGGATGAACCGCTGTGTTGAACTCGACGCCGTGGTCCAGGTCGAGTGATTTGACAAGCTCAGAGAAGCGGTGGTTCTGGCAATTTCCGAGGTGTAGTTTGTGGCGTGCGAGATGTGCGTACATGAGAAGCCGAGCGTTGGCTGGCCAGCGGATCCGAGCGCCCGAACCCTTTTCGCTCAGGTCGCTGATCAACGTGCCGTGGCACTTCTGCAGTTTCGTGTTAGTATTCATTGCAACGATGAAGGAGATTTGGAGTTGAAAGTATTTACCAAAGGAGGTGCCATGGCTGTTGAGAGATGGAACGAGCGGGGGATTTGGATGCTGAGACGTTTGATGACAACACTGATGTTCTGGAGAGTCACAATCGCGGCTTGAATAACAAAAGCGCTGGATACAACCAAGCTATTGGCATCTTCACCATGTTTAAACTTATCTTCGTACGCACTATTGCAAATACAGTGATTCGATGAATACGTTTCCGACGCACTCTGAGATCAGCAGCTTTGTTGATATGCAAGATTTCGATACATGTCCTACTCTGCTCCAGACATATTGTCATGAACTACGCATGTCCTACTTTGCTGCAGACATGGCATGAAGGCTTTAATGCATGTTCTACTTGGCTTCAGACATGTGCACCGCTCGGCTGCACCCCAGGAGATCAATGTCTTAGAGGTTGTCTATGTGGGGGGCGGTATTCCCTCTTCGGGAGGCCCAAGCCCATCATGACGTTCTGGTTGAAAGTCTGCCACTTAAAACAATGTTAGCAAACTGTGGAAATATGAAATGCGATCCAGCGACAGCGACTGAGTCTTTCTGGGTCTCATTGATATCTTGCTTTCTTTATATAAATCGATCAAGCATGAAACTCTCCATAATGACGCTTTTCTGATTCTTACATGCAGGTCTAAGATTTATCTGCAGATTCTAGCATCAGTTCAACATGGACCCCAACCGACCGCCTTCTAGAGATCTTTCGGCTTACAGCTACGGTTCCGTTGTTAATCGTGACGACAACGGTAACATCGATGTCAGCGGAGTCACTCTTGACACCATGGTCAGTAGGGGCATCCCCAAGGAGGCAATCCGCGAGAAGTACGAGCAGACCATTCGAGACTACCGTAAGTGGGACCAATCTCTTGGAAGCAAAGAATCATGCATCCTATTTGCATGCATTCAACTACTAACAACAAATTGTGCAGAGAAGTTCTTGGCCTCAGAGAGCACCGTCCCAGGCAACTCCGGCGCAAACACACAGGGGCAGTACTCAGGCCCAGAGACACCCAAGCCGGTGACACAGACGGTTCCGGGAGCGTGGAGTCCAGAGAATGTCTCCCAAGACAGCGGCGTCCTCCGCACGCACTACCAGAACTTCGGAAACACCGCGACCCAGGGCCAGCAGTCTCGACCCGACATAACCGGAGGCGGTCTCAATCTCATCGACTATGGCGTCAACCAGCTTTCCATGTCTCCCCAGCGGGCAGCGGCCCCATCCCAGCTCTGGCAGAATGACCCCGGCATGCTGCCTCAGGTCCAACAGGGCGACACCCCCAGAGCACAGATCGCCATCAACCCGCAATCCCTGTCCACTAACCCGCCATCCCTGTCATCGAATCCCGCGGTCCATGAGCCCCGTGCGATCAAGCCAGAGATCAATAGGCTTCCCACGCTCGAGGAGCATGGCTCTCATGCACAGACCGCCAACGCTGGAGCTGTCAGCGGACACCATTGTGAACAGCAAACCATGAGACCCCAGCCCACTACCCCCTCCCGCCCTCTCACCACGTCGTACGACAATACCACGGGATCTTTCCTCACTCAAGGCCATGGTGACAACGGCAAAAGTGTAGACTATCAGCCACGCATCATATCTGTTCATGCCCAGGGCAACCAGGAGTCTCCTAGAGCGCTGCCAAACATAGATGCACTGGACAGGGAGGTTGAGGCTGCGCTGGAGGACTGCGTGGCTAAAGGCACGGCGTGGCTTCAAGCTGAGCGCCACATGAAGAAGGTTGTGTTTGATGCGGTTGCGAATCGCCGCTGAATGGTGGATTCCAGGGGCAAACGGGCGCAAACACGCGCAAATGTACTTCAACTTTCTAGGTAGTAACCGTTGATGGATACTTTGGCAAGGATAATTCATTTGGTAATGACAGTGATGTATTCCAGCATGCGCTCGTCTTCAATTCCAGCCCTACCCCAACAACACAATACTGCGTCCAAACCGTGAAGCCTTCATGGCTGTCTATCTACATGACTGACCGAAAACGCTGCGTCAACAGGTCGATGATGATGCCCTCATTCTGCGCGTTTGCAATGTTCCGAGACAGCGAGGGCGGCTCCAACGAAGTGATTGCGCTGCTGACTGCCTCTGTTGGAGGCACCACTGGAGTCACCCACACACCATTGACAATCTCTCCGCGATGAGCTGCACGCTTGAGCATGTAACGAATCTGGTCGGCAAGCTTCTTTCTCAAGACGGGAGCAAGGTGCGGAAAGTCGCGAGGGTTGAGTTTCAGGCCACATTCCGCTGCCAAGGCTGACAGGACACGGTCCTCCTCTCGCTGTTGTTCTTGCTGTGGTGGGGCGTGATGTCGACGCCGGGACTGATGTCGAATGAGATGGCTGCCTCTGTTGCGCGGTGAGCGATCTTCGCGTTGAATTTCGCTGGGTTCCTTGCCGGCATTATCAAGTCTGGTCATGCCCAGCACCTGAAGTCGGCTCATGATCTCTCTCTGTGTCGCAGGACAGAGGAACAGACGAAAGCGGCGTCGTTGTTGGACATGGGAGGCGTAGGTGGAGACCGACACGCCACAGAGGGTCTGGTAGTACGTGCATTAGCATCTAAGAAAAGGCATTGCAGATGTAAGGCAATTGAACAAACCTCGCCGCTCGAATGTCTACACATTTTCAGGGACTTGGGTATGGGCTACAGACGAGTTCGCGGGAACAAGATTGGTAAACGGCAACGTGATGTCCCTGGACCGTCTGGTTGTTGCTAAAGTCAATCTGCATGCGCAGGGGGTGTTGTGAGCGTTCTCTGCTAATGGTCAAATGCAGAACTCAACGGCTCACCTGCTAAGAGTAGCAGCTGGGTGAAGACAGTGGAGCGGGGAGGCAAGAGGGACCCCTCATAGGAATGGACGCTCTTAAGAGCCCATTAAGATTAGATTTAGTAGTATAAGCTTCTGAGAGCCTCACTGCTTTAATAGAGGTAGCTTCTAAGAGCTGTATTTATCTAAGAGATTTAGCTTCTAAGAGCCATACTACCTGAATAGAATTTGCTTCTGAGAGCTTTGTTCTACCAAGGTAGTAAATTGCAATGAGCTTCTAAGAGCTATGTAATATTTATAGAGTGAGATAAGCTTCTAAGAGCTGCACACTGCCATGAGAGGGAAAATAGCTTCTTAGAGCCATAAGAGTGAGATTAGCAGTGAAAGCTTCTAAGAGCTTTGCTACTGATCAAAAGAACAACCAGCTTCTGAGAGCTAAAGAGGTCATCCCTGAAATCATTTCTCAATCCAAGATAAGCCTTTCTCAGCTGACGTTTAAACCCAGATATTTATCTTCACCGTCATCACCTCATCAGAAAGATCATGCTTTCTCATCTCAAGTTCCGCATGTCGGGCGTAGTTCCACAGGCAGAAGGATTGCGCTGATGTGTGTTAGACACAAGCAATACTAATCGCAAAGAAAGATAAAACACCGGATACGAAGTGCCGTTCCTCATGCTGTCTGTCTAAGACTACGTAGCACTGCTGATGAAGCGATCCTGAACCAACGTTGAGCGCAAGGAAAAATGAAGCACGAAATGCATAGTAATACTCCTAATGCTACCTGTCTAAGACTTCGCAGTGCCATTCTTGAAGTGATCCTGAAGCAGCGACAAGTAGCCTCTGATGAGTCCGTCAATCGCAGCCTCAATTCCAGCAGCAGCCTCAGGGTGAGCACCGTCTTGGAAGCTGGCGATGAGCCTTTCAAAATTTGGGACATCGCTTGAAAGCATCCTCCGTATCTTGTCAAGCTCTGCTTCCACGAGACGGTGTGATTGGTCGTGTCGGCGGGCCGTCCACTTTGCGGAACGGCAGATGACACTCAGACCTGCTGCGGATGAGCCGGTGGCGTCCAGCACCTCCACGATTGCATCATCCCCTTCCAGAGCATTTGGCAGTAACATGGTGCCCTCTTTGAGCTGCTGCTCCACGCCAGTCTGAAGGACGCAAGCACTGGCCTTCAGGGTATCCACCACCGTACGGGTCTCGTCCAAGCGGGAGGCGTAGGTCACCCGAGATGTCTCGGTATCTTGTAAGATTGCCTTGAACTCCGAGACTCGCTTCAGTAGCGCATCCTGTCGTCCTGGATACTTCACCGCACCCCAGAGATACTGTTTGCTCGGATCCATGGACGCGGCTGGCGAAGTCTTAAGCTCCGACTGCAGAATGCTCAAACGCATCTGGGTGAAGCCAACATCACTTTCAAGATCGACGTAAAGCCCAACCAACGAGTGTTTGGCGGCCTCGGCAGCCTCAATAGCCCGTGAAGCCTTCTCAGCGACAGCAGGAGCGACGATCTCGATGCCATTCGTCAGCAAACTTGACGCATCACTTCTGGCACTTTCGAGGATTCGACCCTCCCGCGCCAAAGCGACAGGCATATGATCGGCCAGTTCTAATGAGAGAGGGGGCACAAAAACACCCTGTGATCTGAAATCATGTCGCGATGGAAGCTCGGGCTCGGGATCCGCACCGATGTACTTGTCCCACAGGGGTCCGGCCCGTTTGACCAACGGCTCCCGGAAGTAGAAGCCCAAAGCAATCACACCACATCCGACCAAACGATGAAAATTCAGACTGGCCGCAAACTCTCCGAGCTGACAGACAGCGTTGCCCACGCCTTCTGTGAATCTCCCGAAGTGAGCCAGCCCACCAGATTGGGGCGTAGTGTCAACTTCACCAATGGCGCTGTCACCACGTGCAGGCTGAGTCACGTCTGAGGTGTCTGAGTTAGGGACCGCTGCGAATGAACCAGGTTCCTCATCGGGAAAACGACTATTGAGATTGAGGACCCCTATGTTGCCGTTGATTTGCGTGACGGTGGTTCCAGCGCCCGGCGCGGCGTATGAGTGTCTCTCCCGAGGATCAATGATTGGATCGCCAACGGGAACTAACGGGAGAAGAGCAGGGTCTTTATCTATGACCGGCGGTGGATTGGTCCGTCTTGTCAGGGCTCCCCCACCGGCGCTGGGTTGAATGCTGTCAAGGACGGCGCGAACCTCTGCATCATCAAGAACAAAGTCGTCTCGATCCATGACGCGAGCAGTGGGACATGCAGGTTTGTAGCTAGGTGTTGCGGTACGGAAGATGAGAGTGGATCTTGTTGGATTATGGCGAAGGCGGTGTCTAAAGTTTCTGCCTGCATGGAATGTCTCGGTAGGAGGGACACCGCATGCGTTTCCGCCAGCGGGCGGGGGGACCATTTGTATCCAGTGTCTCGGTGTAAGTAGAAAGCATTGGAAAAGGTCAGAAACACAATTCTTCCATGAAAACCTCGTCATTACTTGGAAATGACTACTCATGACGTGCAGGGTCCAGCCTACCAGTAAGTGTTTCAGTAACGGTGTATTGTGAGAAATGATATCGTCTGAAATAAATATGTCACATATCTTGGCAGAGCCATTCTTATCAACCCATGGATCTGGATCAACGCAAATGGTCTCGCGAGGATAGTTCCAAGCCGAGACAAGGCACTGTATTCAGTGGTCGCAGGTGTCTCCCTGGGAGCGATCTGAGCCTAACACTGACGTCGGAAAGTAGAACAACAACAACAACATCCGCATGACTGTGATTCTGTAACAGCTTTCACGCATCATCTGTGTGCCTTCATCCTCCTGAATTTAGAACACGTCTGTTAAATGAGACAAAAAGCCCCATTTCATGCACGTGTGTAGAATTCTGAAGTTCTGTGTCTAACAACTACTTCGTTTGTTTCATCCAGGCGTCTAAGTCGCCAAAGTTCCTTGCCTCACCTCTGTTGCCTCTTTTACGTCACTTTCAGGCCGTCCAGATATTTCGATGTATCCTTGGCAGAAGCTTGCACTCAATGGTGCGATTCTTGCTGCTGTTCTTGCAGCAGGCATTTGGGGTTATCTGAACCTATCGCTCGAAAGCCCACCTACTCCGCTCCCACTGAAAAGCTCAGGTTAGTAAGCCCCTTCCGGACATCACCCCTTCATGTGCACTTTCACACATGTGAGACTCTTCCGCTTATCATCGCTAAGCGTGGACATGAAATGCAGTTGATAAAGAAGTGCATCAGAAGCTCTGTCACCTTTCGCGTCGCCTCTCCACAGCATTCCCAGCTTACACAGAGGAGAAGACATTCTTCTCGCTTCTCGGACTTGACCCCTTTCAGCCTCCTTTCTGGCCCCTTGATCAAAGTGGTTTCATCAGCGGATCATCTGTGGAGGCAGCCGAGGCCGCAATCATTGAAGCCTGGACCTCCGCGGGTGGTAAGGCTTCAGCCGAAGGCCTGTCCTCCGACAAAGAAGTGGAACAGTACCTGAGATTGGTCAACTTGGTGGCAAATGAGATGTTGAATTTCCGCTCTAGAGCTATCTACACTAGTCGATTCTTAGACAGAGGCCCGGACGGTCGCCAAAGGACCAAGTGGCGGGTGACTTGTGAGAAGGATGAATGCGCCGACGATCAGAATGCCGCGGTGTCGGGATAATCTCAAGCTGGTCAAGACCTGAATCTTTCATGGGTGTATTGTGGGGGGGGGGCTTGGTCCAATCAAACATGTACAGCACCTCACAAAGAGAACGAAACGCCGCAGAGGTTTGCCAACTTTGAGAATTCAAACATGTTTCCATTACACCTTTGCTCCTTGTGGGACTTCTCCTTTACTCAGTGCCTCTTTCTCAATCAAAACAAACGTCGTTAAAGCCAACGCTGCAGAGTGTGCTGTCACTGGATCACGATTGAGACAGACCCCTCCGAGCCGCATATACTGTCTCTGATTTCCGCCACCAGGAACCTCTCCATC